CAACAAATCTCCGTATGAAGCTTTGCACGATTACAAACTCTCACTGCACAATTTAAAAGTTTTTGGATGCTTATGTTTCACTTTTGTTCCTCAAGTAAAAAGAGACAAACTTGATAAGAAGGCTGAGATTGACATTTTTGTAGGCTACAACAATGTTACAAAAGCCTATAGGGTTTATCAGCTCCAAACAGGAAAGCTAATAATCAGTAGAGACATTAAATTTGTTGAAGTTGAAAAGTAGAATTTCAAAGATGCAGAAAAAATTCAAAGTGAGCTGATTGTACAAAATTGTGATGATCTTGTTGATGAAGCGCCAGTAAGAGGAACGAGATCACTTACTGACATTTACCAAAGATGCAGTGTAGCCATTTTAGAACCAGCAGAATTCGAAGAAGCAAAAAAAGATCAAAGATGGATGGATGCATGAAGGAGGAGCTCATGATGATCGAGAATAATCAAACATGGAAGCTTGTTAATAGATCAAGCAACAAAAACCCATTGGTGTAAAATGGGTGTAGAGGACGAAACTTAATGCAGATGGTACTATCAACAAACATAAAGCTAGACTGGTGTAGATTTTTTAGAAACCTTTGCACCAGTAGTAAGACTTGACACCATCAGAATGTTACTTGCCTTTGGAGCACAAAAAGGCTGGAAAATATTTCAACTTGATGTGAAATCAGCCTTTCTAAATGGCTACTTGCAGGAGGAGATTTTCATAGAACAACCAGAAGGATTTGCTATCAAAGGAGAAGAAGACAAAATGTATTTATTGAGAAAGGCCTTGTATGGCCTAAAATAAGCTCCAAGAGCTTGGTATAGCCGGATTGATGAGCATTTACTCAGTTTTGACTTTAAGAAAAGTCTGAGTGAATCAACTTTATATGTCAAAAGCACTAATACTAATTTGATTGTAGTTTTAGTGTATGTTGATGATTTATTTATAACAAAAAATAATGCAGCAATGGTGAACCAATTCAAAGCAGAAATGATGAAGGTTTTTGAAATGATAGATCTTGGAGAAATGTCCTACTTTCTTGGTATGGAAGTGCAACAAAATCAACATGGGATCTTCATTGGTCATCAAAAATATGCAAAGGAGATTCTAAAGAAATTCAATATGGAAGAGTGCAAACAAATAGATACACCAATGAACCAAAAGGAGAAGTTTTGTATTGAAGATGGAGAAGAAAAAGTAGATGAGGGGGTATATAAAAGTCTCATTGGCTATTTGATGTATCTCACAACAACAGGACCAGATATCATGCCTTATGTGAGTCTACTATCCATATTTATGCATTGTGCAAGTGAAATTCACCTCAAGTCTGCCAGAAGAATGATAAGGTATATCAAAGGTACAATTGATTATGGTATTCAATTCACTCATTCTCAAAATTCTGAGCTATAAGGTTATGTGGATAGTGATTGGGGTGATTGTTTTGACGGCATGAAGAATACCTCAGGCTATTGTTTTAATTTCGGTTTAGTAATTTTCCCTTGGTGTTCCAAAAAATAAGAGATTGTTGCACAATCAAGTGCAGAAGCTGAGTATGTATCAGCAGCTGCATCTGAAAATCAAGCTTTATGGCTTAGAAAGATCTTAGTAGACCTACACATGGAGCAAAAGAAAGCTACTGAGATTTATGTTAATAATCAAGCTACAGTAGTCATATCGAACAATCCAATTTTTCATGGGAGAACCAACCATTTCAAGATCAAATATTATTTTCTAAAGGAAGTTCAGAAAAATGAAGAAGTATATCTTGTCTACTGCAAAATAAAAGATCAATTTGCTGACATACTAACCAAACCCTTATCTAAAATGAAGTTTGAAATCTTGAGAAGTAGATTAGGTATCTGTAGTAAAAGATGCAAGGAGGAGTGATGAAAGCTGCCTCATTTACTGCAAAAGACTTAGTCTTTGGAGTTGTTTACTTCAAGTAAAAATCAGTTCCACAACATTTGGATTTTGTTGCAAATAAAACTGTAGTAGAATAGCTCTTTTTCCTTGATAAACATGTCTTTATTTTTTGCAGATTTTTAGATTGTTAGTTTCTCAAATTCTTGTATAAAGGGGTGCTTCTGTCAATGGAAAAACAAATTTTTGTAGTTCCCTTTCAGCCTTATAAACTCTATCTTCTTTACTCTTTATCATATTTGGTTAACCAAACAAACACAAAACAAAAATACAACAACATTTTTGAGTCATTATTTGATTGTGGAAGCTCCGTTGTTGTTAGATTATCAAGGGGATTACTCTTCCTTTCGCTCTGAAAGGCTTTATTCAGCCAGTAAGAATGGTACTGCACGGATTTGGGACTACCATACTGGTCATTGTATTCAAGTGATTAATCTTGGTGCTGAGGTTGGTTCCTTAATCAGTGAGGGGCCATGGGTTTTTTTTGGCATTCTGGATGTTATCAAGGTTGGTTATGTCATTATCCTATTGTCTTTATTAATTATTGTTTGGGACTGTGTTATAGTTGCAATCTTGCTTCGTATCTTCTAGTGTCGAGTTTATGGGCCATGTTGGTAATTTTTTAAGCTTAGAACATTTAAACAGGTGCAGAATTCAATCTAGAAGGACCAGTAGGTCAAGTTAATGCAATGGTGGTTGTTGGCAACAACATGCTTTTTGCAGGGGCACAGGTAAATGCTTCATTTGCAATATGGAATTCCTTTTAACTTTTGTCATTAGGCTTAAGCTACTTTGCTGGGTTGGTAAATAAATTCTAGAAGTTGTATATTTCTAATTATTTGAGCAAATGTATCTAATTGAAGTATTGTGGGTTTTCAAGAATTTTAGGTCCATCTTAAAATCAGTTGTAAAATTTTTTCCTGTTATTGATATCGTTGGACGGAGCCATTTTAACAGGTTTTCATGATTCTGATTATATCTTTAAGCTTAGTTACTTAAAATTTGCTCTCATCAATGTTGCAAGGTGAAATTATTTTGGTCTGGAAAGGCAATACTGAAACTGATCCATTTAAAAAAATGGCTTGCTTGAAAGGCCACACCGGCCCTGTGGTATGTTTATGCATTGGAAGGGTGTTGGAGGCAAAAGTTTGCTGTTTTTGTGTTTGTAATTTCAAAACATAGATAGAATAATACAGCAATTTAAATCTGACTGTATGGGTAGTGAGAAAAAAGAGAGCAAAAAAAATGTAGAGGAAAAGTAGAAAAAAAATGCAAAAGAGAATACAGCAGAGGGAGAGACAGCTTCTGAAAAATATGAACTCTATATATTATAGTTCATTAGCCTTATATATATAGAGCATTTTTAAGGGAAGATATTTTGCTACAGCAAATACAAGCTGTCAGGAAGGAAGTCAAATAAAACACATCATTTTATTAACCAAAACAAGCAAGAGTTGCTGATTTTCTCTCTTTAAAATATGCTTCACCATTCTTTTCAACTACCACTTACTAATTAAGCATAACATAAAAAAATAATAATAATTTTCTGACTTCAGCAATAATTGTTCAAGAAAAACTCAGCTGCTAACACTCCTCCTTGAGTTTTTTTTTTTTAATAGTCCAAGCTTGGTTCTCAAGTCTTAAACCGTTCCCTTGGTATAGCTTTAATTAGGATGTAAGCAAGTTGTTCCTCTGATTTGCAATGCTCCAAATGGATTTCTTGGTTCTTCTCAAGTTTGTGCAAAAAATAAAACATAACTTTTATATGCTTAATCCTACCATGTTGCTCAGGAATCTCTCCAAGATCTGATATAGCAAATTTTTTCATCATCAATTGTTTAAACTGCTGCAACAGCTACATGAGGCCATACAATGCCTTTTTCAACTTGTATACCATGTCAACCTTTCCATCAACTAAAAAACCCCTGAGGTTGTTCAATGAAAATCTCCTCCTGCATATCAAGCTGCCACTCGTTGTACATTATAGGCTCTTTATAGTTTGTTGGTTCAATGATGGTCAAATTGCACCTTTCATAATCCTCTGCCAATAACTAGGTTTTTGTGTCTGGTGTGTTTGCAGTTAGATCATTAAATTCTGCAGAATCAAGTTAAAATTTTTTAACAGGAACACATTGGGAACTTGAAGTTGCAACAACTGTATCTTCTATGAGATTCTTTGCTTCAACTTGTTTTTTTATCCCAATTCCAAAATGCTGATTCATCAACATGCACATCTTACTCTTTTGCATAAACTTAAAAGAGTCAACATCGTCATGGGTAAATTTTTTGTGCCACAAACATGTCAAATCATCATTTCCAATAAAAACATATTGATTTGCATATTTCAGATCAAACAAATAGCTATTCTCATTTTTTTTTATTTTTGATACTAGCATATTTGCAAGATCATAAATAAAGTAATAATCATTTTTAAACAAAATGGAATAACTTTTATTTTGCATTTGAGCAACACTCAACAAATTTTGCTCTAAATCAAGAATAAAGAACACATTAGTTATGAGTTTAATACCTCGCTTTGTTTGAACTAGTATTTAGCCTTTTCCTGGAGCTTCCACAACTGTCCCATTGCCAAGTTTCACTTTAGTTATGCAATTAACATTCAAGTTGGTGAACAACATATGATCCTTGGCCATATGGCTTGTGCACCCACTGTCAACATATCAGAAATCACTTCTACTCACACAAGATGCCTCAATCATCATGAAAAGATTTCCTGTTGTTCATAGTTCTCAGTAAAATAGACTTCCTATTGCTAAAGTGGTTGCTGCTGTTGTTGAGGCTCATTCTTTTACTGTGATGCTTGATTTTTTCTCTTTCAACACAACTTCTTTGAATGACCATATTTTTTACAAATCTTGCATTGTACATGCTTCCAACACTTACTCTCAGAATGATTGGATTTACCATAACTTCCACAAGGGGATACTTTCCTTTTTTTAATGAATCTTCTGAACTCTGTGGCTGCTTCCCTTTACTTGTTGAGAATTGACCTTCATCTTTTGAAGTTAAAGTGCCAAACTTGTAACTATGCCTTACTTGAAAAGCATTTTCAGTGATCTCATCATTTCTTATTTGAAAACGTCTGCTCCTGAGCCTGTAACTTACTGATAAGTTCAGCAACAATAAGTTTCTCAAGATCGAATATTTCTTCGATCACAGACAGCTTTGATTCAAACATCTCAGGGAGACTAATCATCATTTTTTCAACCACTCTCTGATCTTTGAATTCTTCTCTAAGCAGCCTTATTTGATTAATAAGATTCATAAATTTTGTAGAATACTCTCTAATACTCTTTTCTTCCTGCATTCTCAACAACTCAAACTCTCTTTTTAAAGTCAACAATTTTACTCTTCTCACTTTAGGACTCCCAGCATATTCTTCCCTCAAATAATCCCAAGCTTTCTTGGCTGTCTTGAAAGCCACCAGCCTTGAGAATATGTCATCAGACACTGCAGAATGAAGAATTGAAAGAGCTTTGAAATTCCTCATGGACCCTTCTGCATCTTGCCTAATCTGCAATAAGGTGGGATTTTCAAGTAATGGAACTCTTACATACTCCTCCTCCACAATGCTCCACAGATCATAAGCAAGAAGATAAGCTTCCATTCTCACTACCCAATAATCATAATTCTCCCCTGTAAATATTGCTCGAGCTGACAAGTTGACATTTGAAACCATTTGAATTACTCATAACTCAAGGCCCTTAAAGAATATTGCTCGGATATCACTGTTGGAGGCAAAAGCTTGCTGTTTTTGTGTTTGTAATTTCAAAACAGAGAGAATAATACAACAATTTAAATCTGAATGTGTGGGTCTGCGGCGAGAAAAAAGAGAACAAAAAAAATATAGAGAAAAAATGCAGAAGAGAATACAGAAAAGTGAGAGACAGCATCTGAAAAATATAAAGTCTATATATTTTAGTTCATCAGCCTTACATATATATATAGCATTTTTCAGGGAAGATATTTTGCTACAGCAAATACAAGCTGTCAGCAAAGAAGTCAAATAAAACACATCATTTTGTTAACCAAAACAAGCAAGAGTTTCTAATTTTCTTGCTTCAAAACATGTTTCACACTCCTTTCAACTCTCACTTACTAACTAAAGCAGAATATAAAAAAATAATCATAATTTTCTGACTTCAGCCGTCACTGTTCAAGAAAAACTCAGCTGCTAATAAAGGGGAAGGCTATACTTCGGATCAATTGATGGTATAATAAGGGTATGTTGTTGATATTAAGAAATTTTCCTGCTACTAATTTTCGTGTCAACATACAGCTTCTTTACATAGAGTATCCTATCTGCCTTTCTTTTTCTTTTTTCATTAGATGTCTATCATCTTAATTTCATTGATTATTTCTGTCATATACTCTACAAGATAGATCATTTTTCATGGTTACTCTTTCCTATGAGTATCAAGTAAACTCTGCCCCCTTGTCCTTTAAAATTTGATTTGAGGTAGAAGAGATGAAATTCAATATTAGGATATTCAAACTGTAAGTAGTATACCAAGTAAGGAATACAATTAGCTGTTAACGTTAAGGTTGAGTTTTTTTTTTTAATTTCAACTCTGTAGGATATCAATGGGAACATAATATAAATAAAATAGAAAATTGAGAGAAAATATTATTCCAATTACAAATTAATCCCATATTTAATTTTAATTGTATTTTTGTTATTACTTCCTTAATATGTGAAAATAAAAATCTAAAATTTTCATATTGAAATATGAATTATTTTGATTAATCTATACTTCAAATATGTAAATTATGATTAACTTTCAGATGTCAAATAAACTTATAATGTAGGAATTGAAAGGAAATAAAAAAAGATTGAACCAGACCCCGCTATTGTAACTTTCTAAACCGTGAGTAACTTTGGTATTGATTATTGTTCTCTTATATTTTTTAATTCTTGTCATCTTGCGGAGAACGCTTTGCTATCTTTCCACTTGTGTTAGGGTCTCTTCTTCTTATCCACTATGTCCGTTTATCAAAATTCTTTTGGAACAAAAAATGGGACGAGAGTAGGAACTGTATAAAATTCAAATTCTTATATTGTAGCTATTTGTTTTATCTTCACTTGGATTCATTTGCTGGTCCTGATATGAAGCTAAGTTGCAGTACATTTTTCGTCTCTTTAGGCTAATTTGCACGTCTTAATCAAGACTTTTGTTGTTGATATTTTGGAATTGAAATTAATTTTATTTGGACCAGGGTATACTTTCACTTAATGAGATAACTGATGTTGAAGCCAAACCATCTTTGTTTTGCTCTTGTAACGACAACATTGTCCATTTATATGACCTGCCATCATAAGTATAAGTTAATTTATGTGCATTATACGTCTAATAGAATCCTCCTTATGTAACATTTATAACGGTAATACTTTAAATTCACTGAGCAGGGCAAGATATTTTCCAAACATGAAGTTCTTATAATTGAGAATGGACCAGGAGGTCTCTTTTTCGCTGGGGACGGAAGTGGCAAGTTGACCGCCTGGAACCTTCTATCACAATTGGGATCATGAAGGAGACATTGGAGAAGAGTGTAGTGACAAAGTTTATAGATGATCTTTTGGCTGTTCCATAAAAATTTTGTACAGCTTATTATCTGTATGTGTATAACAGTAGATGCAAGTTATTCATTTATTTGTTCATTAGCTTAGCAACTCAATTACCAATTATGTTTTAGTTTCGACTAAAATTGATGCATCTTTTTTATTGCAACTGCAAGTTTTCGACATCTCTAATTATGTTTTTGTTGCATATTTCGTGAAGCGGATTACGTTTTATTAAAATTGTAACTTATGCTCTTGTTTTTATTTGTGCATTTTGCTAGCAATCTACAAATTCCTATAAAAAATTTATTAGAACTTGACCAAGACTATGGATATAATTTATTACGTATTTTTATGTATAAAATTTTAATATTTATAAATTAAAATATTTTGATATATTTTTAATGAAATGAAAATAAATTAACAACTAATTGAAAAGAATTAACCATTAAAAGATTCAATATTTTTATACTATAAAATAATTTCCATCTTAAAACTTAAAATTTAGTTAATCATAGGAATATATGAGCATATATCATGATATTCTAAATAAAGATTGTCATTATAAAAATGAAAAAAAATATTTGATTTCACTTTAATTTTCTGAAAAATGTTCAAATTACACCATAAACTTTTTTCGTTTGAATCAAACATCAACTTTTAAAAATATGCAAATCACTTTATTAAAAGAAAATAACTTAATTAAATATTATCATGTGTAGGCAATGAAATTATGTATGTTAATCAACATGGATGTTACATAAATGACACATGGTCTCCACATGCACCCATATAAAAAAGACTACATATATGCCCTAGAAACCAAAATCCCAAACTTTAATCTTACGACCATCGAAACCAATCCTCCACCATCATCCCTTGATCATCCACCTGTGGATTTCTAGCCTAAAAGCATAGCCTCCAGTGGTCCCATCTTTTTTGAAACCCATCGTGCAACTATCTTCCAAGAAAGTATATTGCACGACCCATCAATATCCATATGGACCCATATAAAAAGGTTGCATTCATGCTCTTGAAACCAAAATTTTCATATTTCAATCTAACAATAACAAATTAACAAAGTATCTTGTATGAATGTCATCCGTAATCAATACTAATCAACTCCCATCTTCAAGACTCTCAACATTGATGGTCTCACAACGTGTTCCTTCAGATAATCAGTTGCAAACTCTATCGTCGATGTGTCCTCAGTCGTACTGGACTGAAAAGTCTCATACCAGATGGGGTTGATAATTGATTTAATTATACTCATACTAAACGAGGTATTAAGACAGTTTATAATTATGGCGCCTATTACGGGACAAGGTATGGGGACAGCCAATGAGTTATAAAAGAAATATTTATATATTTGTATCTAACAAGGATCCCTATAGGTTCCAAGTGATACTGATAATAGAAATGACAATGTGTAATAGAAATAGAAATGGTAAGTAACCTTGGTTTTAGTGAAATGGTAAGGAACCCAAGTGTTATATTTATTGAGATGTATGTTGATTATGTTTTTCGTTGTGATTTTAATGATTTCTTAATGTTTTGTTTATGGATTATTGCTAATAAGATAAAGGAATAGAGATGTTTTTTAGTATAAGGAAAAACGATAATGGTTATGATTGTTGTTCAACTTTAGATTTTATTCGATAAAATTTACATTGATTTTATTAAACCTTTATGAATGTGTGTTTGCATATTTCTATTTTGAACACTACTCTATTCTTAGTAAGTCTGTAAAACTCACCCTAATTCACACTTCCAGTGTATATTAGCTTAGGTCAGGAGTAAGTTCAAGATCAAAAAAAGACTCTGAAGAATCTTTTAGCTATTTTGGATGTTTGTTGTAAAGTAGATCTACATATACTATTGTGATGTAATTTTGATATATTTTTATCAGTCTCATGAATTATGACTCCGTACAAGAGATGTATTGTTGATTCATAAAAATTAGTATAATGCTGTACAAAATTTATCAAGTTTATATGTGTGGTAATGCTCCTTTCTTGTTAGAGAAAGCAAGTCGTTAGAGTTGGTATCAAAGTTATATTCCTCATAAACATCCTTTGTATCATGAGATTTAGGATTCTTACGAGGTTTAGAGCCAAAAAAATTAGTTAATATATACCTTAGAGATGTTTTGGAATCTCCTTTAAAACATCTGCGAATATGAAAAAGTAATATTAATAATTCTGAAGGTCCAAAAAGATAGAAGTTACATGGATTTGAATGTGATAAATCTAAGAATCAAATATTAGAGCTTTATTTGAAAGCTAATTGGAGATGATGAACAAGTAAAACTATAGGAAGTTTAAACTTCTACTAAAAAGTTGATCCGATAAAAGCAAGAGTACAAAGTAAGAACATAGGTTGTTACTTATTTTTAAAATTTATCTATTGATAATTCATTAATAATTCTAATAAAATGGTTTATATTATTAAGAGGTCTATACTCAAGTTCAATCTAACAAAAAATCCTTACTATCCATTTTAGCTTTTTATTTTCCTAAATTTTCGCATGCTTCATTTAATTTCTCTGTAGTTTGTGTGTGTTGTTGACTGAGATGGATACATAAAGCTATAAATATGAATATGTGCATCTGCATGTAGATATATATAAGTGTGTGGATATAAATGGATAATTGGTGATTATAAATATGTGAATATATGGGATCCTATATCAAAATTTGTATAGGAATGCATAATTGGTGATTATAAATATGTGAATATATGAGAACCTATATGAAAAATTGTATAATTACATAGATAGATGGGAATCTGTATGAGTCTTCATATGTAAATATAAATTTAGTCTTATGTTTATTGGTATATGTGTAAGGTGTGCGTGTGTAAGAATATACGTATACTGAGTGCACTATACATTATGTATATGTAGATAGTGTGTGTAATGGGCGTAATCTATATAAGTATATCTTCAAGTGAGCTGGTGTATATATATATATATATGAATAAACGTAGGAGACGTTGAATAAAATTCGGGATGTTATCAAAGGGATTATGCTTAAATGAAAGAAAATAAAGGCAATAGTAAGAATCGGATAGTGTTCATATGGAGACCAAACCTGCTTTTTCAAAATTGTATTGTTCTA